CTCCGCCATCTTGCAAACCTTGAGATGGTCCACCCAAAAGGCTCATGCTAGGGCCAACGTAATTCCTTATTCCGGGTCCAGCTCCGAAGGCATTAACACCGGCATTCTGTAAATGCAGAATCTTGAGCAAAACACAACAAAACACTCAATCAACATTTTTTGCTCAGCAGTAGTGCTGAAAAAAAAACTCATGGTAATCATAAAACTTACTCCAGGGGCTTTCAGCGCTGATGTTATCATATTCGTGATAGTTTTGGTGAAATCCGCAACGGCAGCCGTACCAGATGATGAACCTAAAGCATTGCATAATGTAATTATTAGCACTCCGCTTAGAAATGCCTTGCAGACGCAAAAACCATACCCAGTGGCGGGCCAAGGAAACTGGACGGTTGCATGTAAGGGGCTCTGGCAGTGGCTGCAAAAACTATGTCTGAGAATTCGTAGAAAGCAAAGAAAGACTGCATACACAAACTAAGATGAGTACGAAAACGAACCGGAACTACTTGGTGGAACATTCGGCGGAGGAACATTAAAGTTCAAGGGCGGTGCTGTACTTGGAGGAACTGTCGAAGATGCCGCCGCAGCTGTTGACGAACTACTTCGACTTGGCGCTATCGCTACGTCCGGTAATGCACTACTGGATCCAGTTTTCGGAAGTGAGCCATTCGTCTGAATTATTTTGTGGACTAGTGCGGACTCGAAAAGATGGAAAAACTGATAGCAACAGATGATTTCACAAGACATTTAAGAGGAATTTAGCATTTACACATCGTCGTGGCATCTTCGAGGATATGTGTGCGAAGAACGAAAGACGTGCGCGAAACAACGCTTCTATAGTGTTGTAAAAACATGATTCATGATCTTGCATACCGTTCCGTTCACAGGACGTAACGTAGGCGGTGGTTTTGAAAAATCGGGCAATCCAGGGAGAGCGGGACCAGGCGATGACTGAAAGCGAGATGTTCATAGAATTGAGATAATACAGACCTATAAACAAACTGATGGATGCTTAAACTCACCCCAGCTTGAACTGTAGATGCTGGTGCAACTGCCGAAGCGGGACCAGATGAAAGCGGTGGAGGAGGATGTG